TCATTGAAAATGTGCCTAGGGCATTTAGTATGGAGACTCATTGTTAAATTCAACTTTCATAGTTCTGCAGCTATAACTAACCAAATAGTAAAAAGATAGGTAAGTGGTGATTTTCTGTACTAAACACTTAGACCCGCTTTTGAATGAATACTGTTTTATCAGTATTAAGGTTTATAATATAATAAATGAGTATGATTGTTTTAATTTTTTTTTTCATCTAGCTCAGGTTGATAACTGTCCCATTTACAAGGGATAATGTATAAGCTTCTCAGCTCTCCTTTACTAACACTCCCGATTGAAGCTGATATATCTCATTTCTTGACAAAAAATTTCCAGTGGGGTTTGTTTTCTGGTCTATAATTCAGGCTGAAGGCTACACAATGAAAATTTTTATGCCTCCAAGTTAGATAATAATGTTAACCTTTAAATTTTGAAAGACTTGATGACAATTAACTTCATGGTAAAAGAAACAAATTAGAAAAATAAATATACACTTACAGTTGCTCAGATTTTTAGGCATTTTTGGCTAAAGATTGCCAAACAAACCTTAAAGCATCACTTGTTGTAAAGTAATCATTAGTTAGTGGCTCATGCCACCTACAACTCAACCCAAGTGTTTCATGACACTTGAGCGGACCCACATACTTGGTCATGTGCTTGGACTTCATGACAATGTTAATTGTTCAAAATGCATCTAACTATTTACTCTCGATTTCCATTCTTATCTCATTGTGGACAGTTTGCAGACTGACATGAGCCCTGAGACCATTCTTAAGGTAGTGCTGGTGTGGGAACTTTTATGGTATAAAACACCTTTTTGTTAAATATAATGAATTTCTGGTGAAATGATGAAGCTTTTAAACATAATTTGTTATTATTTTTGCTTCTAGAAAAATCCCCCTCGTGGCACAGAGCAGTGGGGAGAAGTTGATGCCTTGGGATGGGCCCTTCTTCTCTTACTTAACCTCAAAACAAACATCATCAGTGAACATTTCCGCTTGATGATACTGCCACCCCCCATGCAAAGAAACATAAATGCATGGTTTTCATCAAACAGAGGTGCAGGATCTATAGGAGATGTCCAGGCCACATCTTGTCCTTCTTGACCCTGACTTGATGAACTAGAACCTGTGGGTGCATTGTAGTGTTAACTGTGGAATTGTTTAAGTAGGGGATGGAAGATTGAAAAAGCAAAA